TTCTCTTTTGCATGGTCCACACTACACAGCATCCATCTGGTGTCATTGAGACACAATGTTCACCTAGAGCAGATGATTGTTGTTTGTATTAATTTTATATATTCCCATATTTTATATTTATATTATATGTTAATGTCTGGTTAATTTTTATTCACGCTGTTAATGACATATTTAATTGTATGTAGGGTTCTTTATACATGTTTGTAAGCCTGAGTGTAAACTACATCAGTGTTTCTCAACCACGATACTGCATGTATTAGATATCACTGTTGTCTAACACACTCATTATATGTATTTCAGACTCTGCTAATGATCTGATTCAGCTGTGTTTGGTTAAAGAGACCTGGAAAATGTGCAGGGCTGGTGGTCCTCCAAAAACGTGGTCAAGAAACACTGCACTACATGACAAAAGTCTTGTCTCTATCCAAGTTTTAGGAACAACATTTGGTATTAGAAGTGGCTTTTATGAAAGGCAAAGGTTTACGCTTATTTTACTAAAATAAAATATGATCATATCTTGATTTTTAATTATTTAATTAGGACAGTAAGGCCTGACTTTGCTTAGACAAAAGTCTTGTCACTTAAGATAATTAATGTACAGTACAGAATATAAAGTCATGGTGGAGTGGAAAAAGAATTAATTTGGAGAACTGCATCCATACATCTCTTCAATGACTTAAATTACTTATTAATAAGGTCATCTGGAATGGCAAAGAAAGCGTTCCTGCAGCAATTCATCAAGATTCTTTGGATTCATCTTCAATGCCTCCTCCTTCATTTTACCCCAGACATACTAGATATTGTTCATGTCTGGTGACTGGGTTTGGCCAGTTTTTTTTTTTTNTTCAACTGAATGCATTCACAACACAAAACACCCCCACCTCCAAATTGAAGTACTAAAAGTTATTTCTGTAAAGTTATGTCAGGTGTCTGAAGCCTTTGGGCCATGATATGCACTGATAAAATTCTGTGCATGTTTTTTTTTTTTTTATGTGTCTCCACACACATATATATATATATATATATATATATATATATATATATATATATATATATATATATATAAACAATTGCAATCATGAGGCATTATACAAAGATAAAAAACAAAAATATAAAATCTGAAAAACCACATGTACATCAGTATTTACAGTCTTTGCTGTGAAGCTCTAAATTGAGCTTATGTATATTCTGTTTCCACTGATCATTCTTGAGATGTTTCAGCAGCTTCATTGGAGTTCACCTGTGGTCAGTTCAGTTGATTAGACATGATTTAAAAAGGCATACACCTGTCTATATAAGATCCCAGGGTTGACAGTGCATGTCAAAGCACAAACCAAGCATGAAGACAAAGGATTTGTCTGTAGACCTTCGAGACAGGATTGTCTCGAGGCAAAAGGCTGGGGAAGGTTACAGAAAAATTTCTGCTGCTCTGAAAGTTCAATGAGCACAGTGACCTCCGTCATCCGTAAAGGGAAAATGTTTGGAACCACCAGGACTCTTCCTAGAGCTGACCGGCAATCTAAGCTGAGTGATCGGGGGAGAAGGGCCTTAGTCAGGGAGGTGTTTAACAACCTGAAGGTCACTCTATCAGTGCTCCAGTGTTCTTCTGTGGAGAGAGGAGAACCTTACAGAAGGACAACCATCTGTGCAGCAATTCACCAATCAGGTCTGCATGGTAGAGTGGTCAGACGGAAGCCACTTCCCACCTGGGATTTGCCAAAGGGCATCTGAAGAACTCTCAGACTATCAGATTCAAAATTCTCTGGTCTGATGAGACTAAATTTGAACTCTTTGGAGTGAATGCCAGGCGTTACGTCTGATAGAGCTTGAGAGGTACTGCAAAGAGGAATGGGAAAAAATTCCCAAAGACAGATGTGCCAAGCTTGTGGCATTATGTGTCAAAGCACAAACCAAGCATGAAGACAAAGGAATTGTCTGTAGACCTCCGAGACAGGATTGTCTCGAGGCACAAGGCTGGGGAAGGTTACAGAAACATTTCATGATCCAGTTACTGTGACCATTTATGTGAAGCTGCTTTGACACAATCTACAGTGTAAAAGCGCTATACAAATAAAGCTGAATTGAATTGAATATTCAGAAAGACTTAAGGCTGTAATTGCTGCCAGAGGTGCATCAACAAAGTATTGAGCAAAGGCTGTGAATACATGTGATTTTTCAGGTTTTTTTATTTTTAATAAATTTGCAACAATTTCAAAAAGACTGTTTTCACATTGCCATTATGGGGTATTGTGTTTAGAATGTTGTAAAATAAATAATTTGATCCAGTTTGGAATGTGGCAAATGTGGTAAAAGTGAAGCGCTATCAATACCTTCCGGATGCACTGGATACAGGGCCGGAGCAAGCTGAACTGCCGCTCTAGGCAGAGGACGATCGCGCCGCCCTCAACCCCAATGTGAAAAAGAAAGTGACCGGTTATGAAAATGAAGTGAGGTGTAGCGGATAGGGGTGTCACGATTACGATTTTTAATCGAAATCGATCGAAATTTATGCTCAATTTAAAAAAATAGAATCGTCGATGCTGCCACGCCCCCATGTCACGTCAGCTTGGCTTGCCAAGCGGGAAAAAACACGCTTGTTGAAGTGCTTGTTAAAATGCAGAAGCAGGAGACCCGTCGACAGAGCTTAAACCCTCTCCTCTTTCAATGAAGTCGCCGGTGTGTAAGCATTTTGGATTTCCAGTGAGTTATGTTGACAACGTTCGTGTTGTCGACAAAAAAAAAAACACAGTTTTGCAACCTCTGCTATGTACGTATTAGGGTTCGTCCGATAGACAACACCGGCATCGGGATCCTCCGCCCGCCCCCGTTGCAAATCCGCTCGCGAAAAGTACACACTCAGGCCCTGTTTACACTGTCTTTGTTTTTAAATGGCATTTTAGAACGACAACGATTTGACATCCACAGTGGCGTGTAGCATTTCTGAGCAGCCCTCCTTCCTCTCTACCTCTGGAAACGCACATCACGTGACCACACACACAGACACAGACGCGCACACACACAGCCATGGGCTCGAGACAGCGGGTTCAGGCAGTCAGAGGATCAGTAGACTGCTTTAATCTTTCACTCAATTGTACTTAGTCATTTTAGCGAACACCTCAGATACTGTTGGCTGGTTCCTGTTGGCTGTGCGTCTTTTTTACCGACGCCATTATAACGACACAGATCACTGCCTATTCACGAGTCCCGCAGAAAAAAGTGATTGACAGGTGGTAATTATGTGTGTATCTTGCCTTTATTCATTTACTGTATGATTTGTTTATGGGTAAAACAAAGACCATGCAGGTCAGGTAGTTTAAACGGTAGGCTACAAATAATTAATTGGTCATTAATTAATTAATTATTCATAATCGAAAATCGAATCGAATCGTGCCTTCAGAATCGAAAATGTAATCGAATCGAGGATTTGGAGGATCGTGACATCCTTAGTCGCGGACATCTATTCTGCTGCTCTATGCGTGAATTAAACTGAGGACGCGCAGATGCTAAGTGAGGGAGGTGTCGCGAATGCTGCCCTCTCTAATCTGCCGCCCTTTGCACGGATCTAAATGAGGACACGCGGGTGTCGCAGACCTTTATTCTGCCGCCCTATGCGCGGATTTAACTGAGGACACGCGGGTGCTGATGGAGGTGTCGCTGACGCCGCCCTCTCTATTCTGTCACCTATGCGCGAATATATCTGAGGACGCGGGTGGTAAGGGAGGTGTCGCGGATGCCGCCCTCTCTATACTTCCGCCCTTGGAGGCCGCCTAGGTTGCCTCTATGGACGTGCCGGCCCTGACTGGATAGGGTACGTTTTCAGAATGAGCCTATGTTGCTGTTATAGCTAAACTTAGCAGTGACTTTATAAATCATGTGTGTTCTGTAGCTCCTGGTCAACTATTATTCCGACTTAACATCTTGGGATGTGACTGTTGTGGATGTCAAATGCTGAAATTGCCATATCAATGCTGACATGATATATTGTGCAGCCCTACTTCTATGTATTTATTAGGGGCCCCAGAATGTGCTCTTGTTTCTTTCGTCACTTATCGGTGTAATCCGCCCCTGGTTTTGCTTTTAAGAGTGGTATAAAGTGCTCTTCAGTTCCTAGTCTGTCAGTGACACACACACAAACAAACACACGTTGCCTCTTATCTGAGGAGGTCAACCTCTATGCATGGCTTCAGATCAGATGTGAATACAGCGGAGCGAAGTCCATGACAAAGGAACAGTAGGTTTCACTGTCTGGCAGACTTCCAGCTCTCATTACTGTGCTGCGCACCGCATACCAATATCCACCACAGCTTTAGTGTGTCTGAGTACATCTGTAGGGAAACACTGAAGCCCAGATAT